CAATTTCTTTTAGAGCACTGTATAGTTTTTCATGATCTATAATGTAGTTTTTAAAAATTATTACCATAAATTTATTTGGCAAGGCTAATCTGAATTAATCTAGCTGAGGGTTTTCTCCACTTATCATACCTTCGCCTTTAACATATAGCTTGACCTATACAATATATTGTTCAGAAGAGAAGGAAAAGATGATTGTTGAAGTTTAAAAGATGCGCATATGGTATTATACTTATTCTTAATGCAACTTTCCAATCTCACATTTTCAGCATCACTCACAGACTTTGGCTTTGCTCAGCTGGCAGACTTCCTGGACTGTATTAACTGCTTGCTTCTTGTTTTTAAATTTAATAGTCCACCTTTGAAGAGACATGAATTTTATGAAGAAGGGAATACATTTGCAGTTGCAGCTATCCAAATTTGCCACTTAGCTAGTTTTATGACTAGTTTTCTTTTGTATAGTTTTTTAAAAAGCCCATCATGCCTTGCAGGTTACACAGTGGGCAGTTTTAAATTTCTTTATTAAGATTTATGGCCCATTTTCCCCTTTGGGATCTAAGTGGATAGTAATCATATTAGTATATGCACACATCTCTGCCTCAAAAGCAATATGATCAAAGCAATTAATAGAAATTGCTAGCAAAGAAAAAAAAGAGGCGAAAGAAAGAAAAGATAAAGCACAAAAGCAGTTAGATATGCTATTTATGAATAGACTATAAAAGAAACTGAAAAACTCCTCTTTTTCTGTGTTCATGTTATCTGCCATTGTGCCCAGCACCAGTACTGGATTCTCAATCACATCATCCTTATTTATTAGGAATACTGATTTTCTCCCCTATGGTTGGTATAAATTACTACCAGAGTGATCAAGCATTTCTATGTACAGGCAGTCGCCAAGTTACAAACAAGATAGGTTCAATAGGTTTGTTCTTAACAACTTTGGATCGCATAGGGAAGGGTTAACACCCCTGTGGTGTTTGTTTTGTTGTCTGTGCCCCTGTTCAGAAGATTTCACCTCATTTTCTGTCCCTGTGAGAACTGGATTTTGAATTATTTGGCTTGTTGTGGAATCAAGAAGTGGTGAGACACCATTTCCCATGATAATGCTTTTCAGCTGACTATACCTTCCTAGGGATATATTTCTCTCACTTCAAGTTGGCTCACCCCCATTCTTAATTATGAGTTGTTTGTAAGTCAGGTGTTTGCCAGGTAGCTTGCACATTCTATAGGTCTACTCTATACCTTTATAATTACATATGCATATTTATCTCATTGTCAACGTAGAAGCCGATTGCTCCATAACTATTGTTTCTTTTCCTAACCTTAAATGCACAATATATTCACACTTACAGCTTCATCACAACGACTAGAAAATTGATCCACTTTAAATCCAGTTCCTGCCCCCTGCCAAAATCTGGGATTTGTAGTTTAGTGAGGCCCAGGACCTGTCTGACTGGGTAGTTTAAAGGCCCCTCCCTAAACTACAAGCCGCCAAATTCTGCAGGAGGAAGGAACTGGATTTAAATTTGATCCATTCTCTAGTGTGATAAGGCTGTTTGTTTTGTGCATGAGAGTCAGAAGTTGATGACTCTCTGTCTGATTAATATTCCTTGCACATTTTGACACATTACCCATTGAATCACTCTCTAGAAATGATTTTTCCCCTTTTTAAAAACATTCCTAAAATGTGCTATGGTTTATGGACCTATATACCTTTTCAGATTGAAATTCAAGTCAATATTTTGCTGTGGCCTTCTCTTTTGGTTGTGTGGGATTGAAGAGCTGTAGATTCAACCTCACTGAAGAAAAAAGCTAAGGTAGAGGGTTAGCTCTGCAAAGAAATGACAAATCAGGATACGCAAAAAATCAAATGGACTTTTTACTAGTTACATTCCTAACAAATTGCTTGGGTGAGTAAAGTCAATAGAGACTGGTTCTTTCACATTTTCTTTCTTCCTCTTCCTTGTCACTTGGAGGTGTTAAAACTGAAGCTTGGGCTTAGTTCTTATCAATGGCTGCTACTTCCTCTGTGACAAGTGAGCGCTTTTGGCATCAACAAAGTGGCAACTGTTATGTCTTGCTTCCACTGGCTGAACTCAATTGAGAGCCTGTTGGCTGAGTGTATGGGACACACTTCTCCTTGCATTCAAAAGCAGCCTCAGCTAAGGATAGCATGTCTCCTTGGAATGAATGCCTAGAGAAGAGAAAGGGCTGGATGAGGAAAAACAAATGGAAACTGAATCCAGACATGGGAGAGGTGCTTGCCATCAAGGGTCCTCATTTGGGGATGGAGATGTGTCAACCTGTTCTGGACAAGGTTATACTTCCCTGAAAGACTATGTCGGCAGCTTAGAAGTGCTCCTGTATCCATTCCTGCAAATGTTAGCTCAAGTAGATGAGACAGTCAGGAGTGCTCACTACCAGCTGTACCTCTTCCTAGATTTTGAGGACCTAAAGATGGTCTTGCATGCACTGGTAACTTCGTGGTTAGATTTCTGCAATGGGCTACCTTTGTGCCAAGTTTGGAAAATCCAGTTGGTAGCCAGGTTGATTATAGGCACATCCAGGAGTGCACATATTACATCCATACTAAAACTAGTCTCTTGCCTGCCAAAATACAAAGTATTGGTTTTGACCTTTCAAGCCCTACATGGTTTAGGTCCAGTTTACCTATAGGATCACTTTCCCCCAATCAATCTGCCGAACACTTTGTGAAGTGACTACTATAGCCTGCCAGAACCCAACTGGTGACCATCACCCAGAGGAACTTTTCATCAGCCACCCCAAGACAGTGGAATGGCATGTTGGAAGAGTTCCAACAGAGCTGTAGAAATTCAAAACATATCTGAAGACCTATCTCTTCCAGCACATCTACCCAGTCAGTTTTGATCATGAATTTTATACTCATGTCCTGTGTCCACTATATTTTAATCATTGTTCTGTGTACAGTAGAACCTTGTGTAACAGTGTCCGAATTTAAGTGTATTTGAGTTAAAAACTGTTGCTTGGCCTGAGTTTTGCTTTTACATATGAGCAGTATTTTGAGTTAAGAGCTAGTGCCAGAAGACGTGCTAGCACCAGAGTATAGAGCTTTAAGGCTTCAAGGAAGCAGCCTCCATGTCTCATGCTCTTGTCCACTTGGAGAGATTGTTGTCTGCTTTGCTCTTGTCCACTTCAAGGAACTTTGGGTTAGCTGATTTTGTGTGGTTTTTATTCCTGGTACTTTTGGCTTCATAATAATAATAATAATAATAATAATAATAATAATAATAATAATAATTTATTTATATACTGCTCCATCTCTCCGAGGGGACCCAGAGCGTTTCTCAAGTAACATCACAAAACATACAGAGTAAAAACAACATAACCATAAGATAAATAAACAAAATATAAGCATAAAAATTGTCACCATAACACACATATTAAAAAGTAATGAGGGGGGGGAAGGTAAAGCAAGAGAGGGAGGAAGGATGCAATGAGTGCAGTATGAAGAAAATGACGCTTCTACCTCTTCTCTTTCTGCTTTGTGCTTCGGTACTGGGTTGCCCTGTGCCTCAAGCCTCTAGTGAGGAGTCAGGGATGAGTTGCCTCTGGAGACTTTTCAGAGTTGTGAGCAGGAGGGAATTCAGACCCAAATCTGGATATAGACTTAGCCTTAAAGCCAGGGGTACCAGAGGAGGATGGAAATGTAGCAACTAGGCCTGGGCGGTTTCGTTTCGTTAATTCGTAATTCGTTAATAATTCGTTAATTTTTCCAATTACAAAACGATAACGAACCATTCTGGAGCAATCATTTAAAAAAACGAATTTTTAAACACGTTTTGTAAATGCTTCGTATTTCGTTATTGTATTCGTTTCGTTATTGTTCTGAGGTCGTTTCGTTATTATTTCCGCATGTCTGGGCCAGTTTTATGGTTTAATTAGTGAAAAAAATTATAATATCACACCAACAGTCAACAACAGAGGGAGAGGGAAGCTTCAGAAGGTTTTGGAGGTTTTTTAGCGTATTTCGCGGTCGCGTCCGCCATTAACGAATCGATTCGTTATTGTTTCGGAAATCGATTCGTTAATTTTTTACCATTTACGAAATTTCGTAAATATCGAACTTTTTAAAAGGAAAATTTTGTAATTATTTTAAATATCGAAACAAAAAACCCCCCAAATACAAATCGATTTTAGAAACAAATTTTCCGTTGTTACCCAGGCCTAGTAGCAACACCTCAGTCTGCAGAGGCAGAGAGCAAACTCAGGGTAAGGGTTTGCCTCCACTCTGTAATCAACCACCAGCTGCTCCTGAGCAGACCCCCCCCAGCTCACCTGAAACACCAAAAAAGCAGAGGAAACAGAGGCTAAGGTTTGCTTTAAAGGAAAGGCATAGAAGTGCTCATTTAGCTGCAAGGGAGCAGCAGAGAGGAACTGCAGAAGTGCAGTCAGGATGCAGAACATAGCTTGCTGGCTTATAGGGCTGGATAGAGTCATTCTGAAGATCCAAAAAGACATTTAAAAACTTCTGAATTTTGCCTTCCGAAGCAGTTTTGAACCATGCAAGAAAGGTGGGAGGGGCAAATCCGAATTTGAACCACTCCATTCTCCTCCAGGGCACTTTTTCTGAACTTTTTGACTATTTAGGTGGGAAAATGGTAATGGTTGACCTTCTGATGCAGGTACTTTGCCTTCTCTATAAAATGATTCTAAACTTCTCCATTGGCAAAATTCATAATTATAGCCCCTAGACCTGCCCCCAACATATACATAGGGTCAACTTATACTTGAATACATATGGTAGTACATTACCTGAATCAGAGGCCAGTAATATTCTGAGGAAAACTACTTTCTGGTCCACATGCTTTTCCAAGACAAGGAAGAAGGGTCCAGATTAAGTGGATTTGCATCAAATTTTTCTGCAATTAAATTCTTATAGTATCTTTAATGAGTACCTTATATGAAACTAATGGCCTTATTTTTCCTATGCAAATCATTCACCTCCATATTTTCTTTTTAAGGGTTTCATGGATATTGACTTGGAGAAATTCAGGACAAATGGAGCAAACGTGACTGGATTCCAGTTGGTGAATGATACTGATACCATCCCAGCTAAGATCATGCAACAGTGGAAAAACAATGATGCCAGGGAACAACCCCGTGTTGACTGGAAGAAGCCAAAGGCAAGTGGTACTGAAAACCATTTGTTGGAGGTAGCATTGATGCTGCTCTCTTGTTACATACTGACACTTTGGAATCATACACTTAAGCATCCAGTTCTCATGCCAATCACAATGATCTTGTTCAAGTGAGGTTAAGCTGCAAAACATAGCATTCCTCTTGTAAATCTAAATAAGCAACCCATATGTGATAAAAAAATAAATAGTGTAGTGGCTGGAATCCTGTTTCAGCTATTTGATGAAGGGGTCAAATATACATGACAGGAACAGCAAGGCTGATCCAGTCACTGAGCAGGCTTGGGGTCTGGTAGGGTGCTAGATGACATCTGCATGGTTCAGTGGTTTCAGTACTTCTGGACTCCCTCCCCCTTGCCTTCACCCTGTTTATTCAGCCTTAGCAGTGATAATCAGGCAAGAAACTGAAGGTGGTGGTTGCCCAGTGCCTGTAGCAATGTCAGCCAAAGCAATGAACTGACATGAAAAAGTGATTGGAGGAAAAGAGGAATTTCTCCCTCCTTTTCCTCCTCCCTTCTCTGATAACCTCCTTTTCTCGCCAGTGTCACTACAGGCACCATTGCCATTTTTATATCCGATGGTAATCTCTAAGACCAGAACATTGGGGAAAGATAAGTGTCAAGCAGGATGGCTGTGTGACCAGCTGCGTGATACAGGACTGTGTTAAAGTTAATATATGACAAAGCTGTGTTAAGCACCCCTCTCCCACATTAAGGCAAATGGACCCTATGCATCATGTCCATCATGCCACAGAATCCATTTGCCCTCAAATCAACTCATGTTGATGGCCCCATATTTATTTATATTTATCCTGGTCAACCTCCCCACTAACTTGATGAAAACATCATTCATCTAGGCTTGGATCATCTGCAGAGTAGACATCTTTCTCCACAAACTGGAGAAGGGTGGAAGAAATTATGAGTGTAGTAATAGTGTCAAAACAGTAAGTAAATAGTGACTGTCAATACAAAATGCAAAAACCTAGATTTATTCCATAACTGTTTCCAGTTTGCATCTAGATTTAGAATACCCCTGCCCGCCACAAATAATGACAGATCAAGAAGTGTTAACCTGATGCATCTACCCCCTTCAACTCCCAGAGGGCAGAGAGATATTTTTTCCCCTTGAATTCAAGCAATCTGGATGGGAATGGGCACAGCAGAATTCCTCAAAAGCCCAATAAGGATACATAGGGTTTCTCAACCAAGGCACCCTAGAATCCTGATATACTGCAAAACGTTGCCAGTGGTTTTGTCAAGAGATCAAGATGAGAGGGCGGGAACAATTTTCAAGGTGTAATTATATTTCCCTGGGAACTTAAAAGTATTTCTGAAGAGCAACAAGGTTGAGGATGGCTGGGCTTTATTTTGCATTTTATGAATTATATTCTAACTAACAAGAATGTCTTAACAAGGTCAGACTGTAATATCTAAAACTGAAATTAAATATTGAAAGGGGGAAAATAGCCTTCAAAGTTTTAATTAAGCTGTGAATGATAAGCAGCTATATTGCCATGGCTTCATTTACATAAAATACCGAGTGACTCAAATCACAATAAGGACACAAAAGGAATAGCATTTACCACAAGTTTCAAAACCTCATTCAAATATTCCTTAAATTACCAAAGAGTATGACTCTATCTTGTTGAGATACCCCAACAATTTGATACCAATAGTGGTGAAATGGTCATTGAGACTGTCACCCTTGGAATCTGTCTTGAAACAGAAGGTTCCTGAACAAATATGAATTCCCAAGATCAAGCCTAATGGTCAGCACACATCTTTCCTTTTATTTTTCTAGTACACATCTGCTCTTACATATGATGGAGTTCGGGTTATGGCAGAAGCTTTTCAGAGTCTCAGGAAACAGCGAATTGACATCTCCCGTCGTGGGAATGCTGGAGATTGTCTAGCAAACCCTGCTGTTCCCTGGGGACAAGGGATTGACATCCAGCGAGCTCTGCAACAGGTAAGAAGATAACCTGGACTGTGAGATCCAATCTTGTTTTAAATGAACAGTGATTAACTACTTGTTCAAAATCGCAATTTATTGTTTTTCTTGAGTAACACTGGATTGATGCAATCATTAATTTATGGACTGTCATCTGAAAACATCCGTGTCTTGAGATAAGTGATGGATTAGTTGCTTCTGCTGCTAACTGCCATCAAATTGACTTGATTTCAGTTTGATACAAAATCCCAATTGCATGTTGGGATTTTTTTCTGTCAATAAAAAGTAACACATCTCAGATAAGACCACATCTCCACTCGCTGTACACCAATGGCTCCCAAACTTTGGTCCTCAAAGTGTTTTTGGGTTTCCGCTCTCAGAATTCTTCACTATTGGGACTTCTGAGAACTTAAGTCCATAACACCTAGAAGACCAAAGTACACAATTAAAAAACTTGTCATTAAACATTGACAAACCCCCACCCCAGTTAGGTACTGTGGAATCCTGGGATTTGCAGGTTTACCAGAGCCTGATTGAAATTCTAATTGCACTTCCTGTAACTTTATATGAGGACATTACCATGGCAATTAAAGTAGACTGTAGGATTATAATTATGGAATTAATGGCCCCCAGGTAAAATCCCTTCTTCCATGACCTACTTGGTTGTTTGTTGTAACTGAATATTCAAGTTCAGATATTATACTGGAAAATTATATTTGCTTTACTTCTATTAACCTTTGATTTACTTTATGTTTATTATTTGACACTCTGTGGCTCCATTTACACTATCATATAATGCTGTTTCATAATGCAGTTTAACGGCACTGGACTGCATTATATGAGTCTGCACAGCCATATAATACTATTAAACTTCAGTAAGAAAAATCAGTCCTTACTAGAAGCAAAATAAATACATTTTTCCAGTGCAATATCTGAACTTATTCAGTTACAACAGACAACCAAGTAGGTCATGGAAGAAGGAATTTTACCTAGGGCCCATTCAATACATAATTATAATCCTACAGTCTACTTTAATGAAACTGCATTATATGTCAGTGTAGTTGGGGCAGAAATTCTTAATGTGCTAATAAGATTCCAACATATTGTGATAACTATCTGAGTTCACAAAGGTAACTCAAAGTAACTTTACTATTTCCATTATCTTATTAATTAGCAATGATTACTGCACTGTCAGGTCTAAATGTGTGGGAAATTATCAGTCTTCCCCAAGTTGGCACTTCCACATGGGGTTGTTGTTGTTCATTCGTTCAGTCGTCTCCGACTCTTCGTGACCTCATGGACCAGCCCACGCCAGAGCTCCCTGTCGGCCGTTACCACCCCCAGCTCCCTCAAAGTCAATCCAGTCACTTCAAGGATACCATCCATCCATCATGCCCTTGGTCAGCCCCTCTTTCTTTTTCCTTCCATTTTCCCCAGCAAATTGTCTTCTCTAGGCTTTCCTGTCTCCTCATGATGTGGCCAAAGTACTTCAACTTTGTCTCTAGTATCTTTCCCTCCAAGTGAGCAGTCGGGCTTTATTTCCTGGAGGATGCACTGGTTGGATCTTCTCGCAGTCCAAGGCACTCTCAGCACTTTCCTCCAACACCACAGCTCAAAAGTATCGATCTTCCTTCGCTCAGCCTTCCCTAAGGTCCAGCTCTCACATCCGTAGGTGACTACAGGGAATACCATGGCTTTGACCAGGCGGATCTTTGTTGCCAGTCTGATGTCTCTACTCTTTACTATTTTATCGAGATTGGACATTGCTCTCCTCCCAAGAAGTAAGCGTCTTCTGATTTCCTGGCCACAGTCTGCATCTGCAGTAATCTTTGCGCCTAGAAATACAAAGTCTGTCACGGCCTCCACGTTTCTCCCTCTATTTTCCAGTTGTCAATCATTCTTGTTGCCATAATCTTGGTTTTTTTGACGTTTAGCTGCAACCCGGCTTTTGCGCTTTCTTCTTTCACCTTGATTTGAAGGCTCCTCAGCTCCTCCTCGCTTTCGGCCATCAGAGTGGTGTCATCTGCATATCTGAGGTTGTTAATGTTTCTTCCAGCAATTTTCGCCCCAGCCTTGCATTCATCAAGCCCCGCACATCGCATGATGTGTTCTGCATACAAGTTAAAAAGGTTGGGTGAGAGTATGCAGCCTTGCCGTACGCCTTTCCCAATCTTGAACCAGTCTGTTGTTCCGTGGTCAGTTCTGACTGTTGCTACTTGGTCCTTGTACAGATTCCTCAGGAGAGAGACAAGGTGGCTTGGGATGCCCATCCCACCAAGAACTTGCCACAATTTATTATGATCCACACAGTCAAAGGCTTTAGAATAGTCAATGAAGCAGAAGTAGATGTTTTTCTGGAACTCCCTGCCTTTCTCCATTCTCCAGCATCCGGATATTGGCAATCTGGTCTCTCGTTCCTCTGCCTTTTCTAAACCCAGCTTGTCCATCTGGCAACTCTCGCTCCATGTATTGCTGGAGTCTTCCTTGCAGGATCTTTTTTTTTTTATTGATATTTTTATACAGTTTTTCTTTACAACGAAAGAGGGGGAACAATCATTGTGATAGAAAGTCACAGAATTTAGACAGATTGTGAAGGACAGAATTGTGGGTGGGTATGGGTGGGGAAGGGAGGGGGATGGGAAGATAGTGGGAGGGGTTGTTGGGGTAGGGGTATACACACATGTATATACAACTTCCGTTCAGTCCACAGAGGGTAGTTATTTGTTTCCTTTATTCTTTTGCCTTCTTCTCGTAATTTTTTTCCCCATAGAAATTTATATGTCCAGTTTGATTTTTCCTTTTAAGTATTCTTTAAGGTATTTCCAATTTGTTTGTTTGTTCTTATTCTGCTCATCTAGTAAGCACGATAGGCTATCACAATTCCTGTAGTCTATTATCTTCTTTATCCATTCTTCCTTGGAGGGAATCTCTTTACTTTTCCATTTTTGCGCTATTAGTATTCTGGCCGCCGATGATAAATAGAAAAAAATTTTTTCTTCATTTTTCCCTAGCCCGATTTCCATTATATTTAGTAGGTAGTATTCAGGTTTCATGTCAAACTTCGTTTTTATAATGATTTGTGTATGTTTGTGTATCATTTTCCAGAAAGCTTTTATTTTTTTGCAGCTCCAATACATATGAAAATAAGTGCCAGCTTCTTTTCCGCACCTCCAGCATCGATTATTAGGGTTTTTGCTAAACTTGGCTAGTTGGACCGGAGTCAGATGCCACCTATAGAAAACCTTAAACCAGTTCTCAACAATATTGATGGATTTGGTGTACTTCAGTTTGGTTTTCCATGCTTGCTCCCATTCACTTAATAAGATGGAGTGACCTACGTCCCTAGCCCACTTGACCATATTCTCTTTTACCACCTCCCTCTCAGTGTTCCATTCCAGCAAGTTCTTATATAATATTCTAATCAATTTTTTGTCTTTTTTCATGATTATGTCCCAGCAGTTTTCTTTTTCACTGAACCCAACCTTTAGATCTTCCTTGAAGCACTGTTTGATTTGCATATATTGTAACCAGTTTATTTCTTTGTCTTTTCCCTTCAGTTCTTCCATTGATCTCAGGTGCCATTCGTTATTAATTTTTTTCAGCAATTGTCTGTAATTGAGCCATCTGTTTTTCGGTATTTCTCTTTTGTGATGAGCCTCAACTGGCGACATCCACATGGGTATTTGAGGGTACATGATATTTTTATATTTATTCCAGATTTTCAATAGGGCGGCTCTGACATAATGATTGGTAAAGTTGTATTCTATTTTCGCTTTCCCATAACAAAGGTAGGCGTGCCACCCTCTTCTTATATCGTGGCCTTCCAATGTCAGCATTTTCTTTTGCTCTAAAGTGGCCCATATTTTAACCCACGATAACGCGCAGGCTTCAAAGTATAACTGTATATCTGGTAGTCCCCATCCTCCCCTGTTTTTAGCGTCCGTAAGATTTTTAAATTTTATCCTTGCCTTTCCTCCATCCCATATGAAATTCCTAATATCTTTGTTCCATTTTTGAAAGCATGAGTTCGTCTTGATAATTGGAATCATTTGGAACAGGTATAACATCTGAGGCAACACGCTCATCTTGATGGCTGCAATCTTCCCAAGTATGGACAAATTTAGGTACTTCCAGTTTTTAAACTTCTTTTGTATACTACTCCATACCTTGTCATAATTGTCCCTAAACAGATGTATATTCGAGGATGAGATTATGATGCCCAAATATCTGACTTTATTTACCACTTCTATTCCTGAATTCATAAAGATTTTCTCCTTTCTCTCTATCTTGACATTTTTTGTGATAATTTTTGTTTTATTTCTATTTATCTTCAACCCAGCAAGTTTCCCAAATTTTTCGATTTTTAGTATCCATCTTTGAATGGATTCTACTGGATTTTCCATAATACAGACCACATCGTCTGCGAAAGCTAAAGTTTTGTATTCTTCTGTTCTAATTTTAAGACCTTTTAGTTCTTTATCATTTCTTAAATCTTCTAACAGGACTTCTAGCACTAAGATAAACAATAAAGGGGACAGGGGGCACCCTTGTCGCACCCCTCTTTCTATCTCAATATTTTCTGTGCGCAGGCCATTTACTAGTACTTTTGCTGTCTGTCTTGAATAGATTGTCTTAATTGCGCTTAATATATTCAAGTCTTCTTTGCAGGATCTTGAGCATTACCTTACTGTATGAAAGTTTGAGCAGTCTTTCATTTCCCTTTTTTGGTATGGGGATATAAGTTGACTTTTTCCAGTCTGATACCCATTCTTGTGTTTTCCATATTTGCTGGCATATGCATGCATCACCTTGACAGCATCATCTTTTAAGATTTTAAACAGTTCAGCTGGGATCCCGTCGTCTCCTGCTGCCTTGTTGTTAGCAATGCTTCTTAAGGCCCATTCAACCTCACTCCTCAGGATGTCTGGTTCTAATTCATTCACCACACCGTCAAAACTATCCTCAATATTATTATCCTTCCTATACAGATCTTCTGTATAGTCTCGCCACCTTCTCTTGATCTCTTCAACTTCTGTTAGGTCCCTGCCATCTTTGTTTCTTATCATACCAATTTTTGCCTGAAATTTACCTCCAATGTTTCTAATTTTCTGGAAGAGGTCTCTTGTCCTTCCTATTCTGTTGTCTTCTTCCACTTTCCATGCATTGCTTATTTAAAAATAGTTCCTTATCTCTTCTGGCTAACCTCTGGAATTGCGCATTTAACTGGGCATATCTCCCCTTATCCCTGTTTCCTTTTGCTTTCCTCCTTCCTTGGGCTACTTCCAGTGTCTCAGCAGACAACCATTTTGCCTTCTTGGTTTTCTTTTTCTTTGGGACGTACTTTGTTGCCGCCTCCTGAACAATTGCGGACTTCTGTCCATAGTTCTTCTGGGACTCTGTTTACTAAATCTAGTCCTTCAAATCTGTTCTTCACTTCCACTGTATATTCGCTAGGAATGTTAGTGAGATCATATCTAACTGGTCTGTGTTTTTTCCCTGATCTCTTTAGTTTTATTCTAAATTGGGCAATAAGAAGTTCGTGATCTGAGCTACAGTCAGCCCCAGGTCTTGTTTTCACCGACTGGATGGATGTCCGCCACCTTTGGCTGCAAAAGATGTAGTCAATCTGATTTCGGTGTTGACCATCTGGTGAGGTCCATGTATAAAGCCGTCTTTTAGGTTGTTGGAAGAGAGTATTCGTTATACACAGCGAGTTTTCCTGGCAAAATTCTTTCAGCCTGCGTCCCGCTTCATTTTGTTCTCCCAGACCATGCTTGCCTGTGATCCCAGTTGTCATTTGACTTCCCACCTTGGCATTCCAGTCTCCTGTAATGAAAATAATGTCTCTTTTTGGTGTATTATCCAGTAGGTCCTACAGATCCTCATAGAACTGATCTACTTCTGCTTCTTCAGCAGCTGTGGTTGGGGCGTATATTTGGATCACTGTGATGTTGAAAGGCTTTCCTTGCACTCGAATTGAGATCATTCTGTCATTTTTTGGGTTGTATCCAAGCACCGCTTTAGCGAATTTCTTATTAATTATGAAGGCTACTCCATTTCTTCGATGTTCCTCTTGTCCGCAGTAGTAGATCTGGTGGCCATCTGATGTGAAGTGGCCCATTCCAGTCCATTTCAGTTCGCTGACCCCCAGAATGTCTATCTTTAGTCTTGACATCTCACCAATAACAACATCCAATTTGCCCTGGCTCATAGATCTTACATTCCAGGTTCCTATGGTGTGTTGATCTTTAGAGCATCGGATTCGTCGTTCACCTCCAGTACCGTTGGCCGCTAGCCTTCCTTTCGGCTTTGAGCTAGCTGCGTCATCACATCTGGGGCTAGTTGAACTTATCCTCTGCTCCTCCCCAGTAGCATTTTGGCCATCTTCCGACCTGGGAGTCCCATCTTCCAATGGCATACCGACATATCTCTGGTTGTACTGGTCCATTTAGTTTTCTTGGCAAGGATACTGGAGTGGTTTGCCATTGCCTTCCCCAGGGATCACGCTTGGTCTGACCTTTCTGCCACAACCGTCCCGTCTTGGGTGGCCCTTCACGGTTTCGCTCATGACATCATTGAGGTGCTCAAGCTCCAGCGCCCCGACAAGGCGGTGATCCTTTGCTGGAGCCACATGGGGTAGGCAGCACCTTTCATCATCTCTATCAGCATGAATACTGGTGAAGATGTTATGTGCTTCACAAGACCATCTCCAAATTTGATACAGGAAGATCTTTTGTATCTTACATAGTTTGAAACCTTTGCATAAAGACAAAAACCTTAACATTTATAATAAATATTGAATGGATTTTCAATGTCTGTATTGCATGAAGGTGCGCTTTGAAGGACTGACTGGTAATGTCCAGTTTAATGAGAAAGGACATCGGACCAATTATACCCTTCATGTGATGGAAATGAAAGCAGATGGGATCAAAAAGGTAAAAGTTTACTTTGTTTCTGAAAATAGAAGGGTGAAAACTTAAAACTTGAACTTGTGATTTTGCAGGGTGGGATGATGGTTCAAAGTTAGGAGTAAAAAAAGTTACTGAATAACATTAGAATCTCTTTGAGAGCTTTCATTCCCGGAATTAGTCATTCATTATTGATTTTTGTGACCTATTTGTGCTTTTCCAAACTAGCAGAGAGTAAACTGTCTACAATAATCCCGCATCCTTTGTAGGGGTTAGGGGCACAGGACCCCTGTGTACGTGGGAGAATTGTGAATATATCTCCCCCCACCTCAGTCCAAATACACACACACACACACACAAAAATCTACCTATACTGGTGGGGCTGGTGAGTTCATCAGTGCATGCGTTCCCTCACATGCTTACTCACTCACTCATTGGTGGGGAAGGAGATAAGGGAACAGGAGGAGGGAGGGTACACACATGCCTATTTAGATGAGGGGGAGTGGGATAAGATGAAAGCAGGAGGAAACTTACTATTAGAAATGGCATAGGGCAACAGTGAAAATGACAGCAAGTAAACCTAAAGCTAAACCACAAATGTGGAGGGACAGTGGTATCTGGGACAGTGTCCTACATATTATCTATAATTCCAGATTAATCTGTGTTTTACTTTTGAAATACATATATGAATACACACACACACACATAATGACTGGAACATGTTTAAAGAGCCAACAACTATATACTATCCTCCAAAAAGTGTGAATTCTGGTTTGTACGTAAGCTTCTATCCATACATTAATCTCAGGGCCCTTCCAGACAGGTCTTATATTCCAGGATCTGATCCCAGGTTTTCTTTTTATCCCAGATTATCTGGCAGTTCAGACTCATATAATCCAGTTTAAGGCATAAAACCTGGCATCAGATGCTGGGATATAGGGTCTGTCTGGAAGGTCCCTTAGAGAGGCATTTGAGAGTAGGACCTGACAAAATGAAGGGGACCTAGTAGCTAGGTAGGACTAACATTTCATTCACTGAGGGGAGCTTTGCATCCCTCAAAATGTTGTTAGACTGCAATTCAATGAAGCTCTAGCCATTATTGTCAACCTCTCCCCCAACAACAACCTTTGGAAAGCTATAGATTTTCCAACCCAGAATTATTCTAAAGATTGAATCCCTTAGGTATCCTCCAGTGAAAATGTTTCATAAACTATTAAAAGCATAGTTATTTAAAAATACAAATCATGTTAGGTGCCATTTCAGTAACCAACTGTGTCTGTATAGATGATATAAATATAACTATAAATTATATACCTTTATGGAGGCCACCATAGAGATATTATATAATTGACTCCAATGATACCAAGTTGATAAAAAAATTAAGAATAAAAGATGACCAAGAATGTTCTCTGGAGGTATTGTGCATGTTTTTCTTATTAGGCATAGAGGTCTTTTATTCATACCCTAGGTTGTACAAAGACACCTAGGCACATGCACCAAATCAAAATTGTTCCCCATAGGCTCAATGTGTTGGGGGGGGGGGGGTTGGGGGGTTGTTTTTTGTAAGGGTTGCTTGAAAGGGAATAGCTTTCTGAGATCTTCTGGTGGAATGTGGACCTATCAACTCCCAACATTTGTCAGTGTTTGACACTGAACCATGAAACAATCAGGGCCTCTTCAAAAATACCATTCAACTCATGATTTTATATTGGGGTGGGGAACCAAAGGCTGTTGCTGAATTAAAATCCCCATGCTGCCTTATCTGTGATTAGTCTGAATGAGAATACTGGAGACATTTTAAGGGACACAGATTTTTCGCTTCTAGTTTTAAATTCCCATAACATCAATAGATAAGACAGACACAACTCTAATGTCATGGTAGATATTGGAAATTAAACAAATACTTTTTTGACATGCATCATGGTTTTTGTGCAGGAACCTCTCAATGACAGGAACAAACGCTAGAACTATAAGGGACATTATTATTACTAGTACTACTACTACTACTGTCATAACCATCATAATCATCATCTGATATACCTTTCCCCATGAATTAAATTGTAACTATTTCCAGAAATCCTGAAGGGCTGGTTTATTTTTCCCAGTGTTTTGCACTGCATTTTCTCATATTTAGAGAAATTGTTTTATTATCTCTTTCTCATTATCAGATAGGTTACTGGAATGAAGATGAAAAACTTGTTCCTACAGTCACAGATCAACAAGGTTCAAATGAAACCACAACTCTTCAGAACAGAACTTATATTGTTACAACTATTCTAGTAAGTGTTGCAATGCCAGTAACATAATACATCTAAATTGAATGGCAAGACTTTGATTCTCTCTTCCACTTTATTGTTGATGCGTGCCTTCAATTTGTTTCCAATTTATGAAGGCTTTAAAGTCTCTATCTAATATAATTTACAAAACTAATTCAGCAAGATTTAGTATTTAAAATAAGGCACCTTGGGACTTGCTAAGTAGGTTTAATAATCAGATTCTCAAAACCAAAGAGTTTGTCGTGGAATTAAGTTACTTTTCAGCTTGTACTGTAACTCTCTGTTAGGGGTGTTCAATTTTTTTCATTAGTTGTTGTAAGTTATCTCAATTTTTTTAAATTTGTACTTGTGACACACTATCTGATGTGTGGGCATGGCCTATGCAAAAAACTTAAGAATCAAAACTTACCCCATACTTTTTCAATTGCATTTTGTAAATATCTAAAGCTACCAAAGTCAGTTTTATTTCAGCATAAGGAAATAAAAGGCTGACTTTCCTGCTTAAATTAAAAAAAGAGACATAGAAAACACAGAATTCTGGGAAATGTAGTTCGGGAAGGCAAGGAGCCTAATGCCAGAAAATTCAAAAGACCCTGCCCTAAACTACATTTCCCAAAAATCTGTTCAACATCAGAAAGTTCCAATCAGGATAGGGGAGAGCTACTTTCCCTCCAGGGCAGCAACCAGGCAGAGTTTCAATAAATTGTTGAATCTGCAAAGAGGAGGACTGACTGATTCTTCTTGTAAAGAAATCTCTGTGCTGGGTTGGGAAGAAATCCCTAAATGGAAGTTCTATGGGTTGATATGAGAGACATTGAATGAGATAGCTGTTGTGGCTTTTTAAAAAACACGTTTTTGTAAAAAAAATATTAAAAATTCCCTAAAATCAGTTGATGTAGGAATATTTCTGAAAGTTGAAGGGGGGGGGGGGCTTCACCCTACTAGCTTTAAAATGAGGCAGAAAGGAGCCTCTGAAATTTCCCCACTTGCGCAATTACTATAATTAAAAAGTAACATTTTGTTACTCTCATTATAGTATCGAAAGTTTTATTATAACTATACTTTTGAAACACTTTTGAAACAAAACACCAGTGCCCTGTAATTTTGTAATGACCTCTGAAACATTTTTTTAATCAATCACACATGTCTACTGTCTACCACTAGGATATTTTATCACCCGCCATGGCTAATGCTGGATGTTTACTGTCTATACTTGTGCACCACTATGATCCCTGGTTTTGAAGTCAAATAGAAGTATGTGTCATGTAATTGACAGGAAGAAGGAATAGACATGAGTTATGTCCCTAACAAAACTGTTCAAGGATAGATAAAACTCCCATCTTGTTTTTATCTAGCAGAAAATGCGTTTATTATTCTCCTAACATGCTGCCAGAAGGATGAAAGATAAGAACAAAAGAATCTGGAGGTGCTATTGGAGGTAGCTGAGAGGCTCCAAATCTCATTCCAGGATATTGTGCTAGCTTTGAACACATCAATTGTTTGAGCAGAATTATGTAGTTCAGGCACATAGAACTTTGTTCTTATTTTGCTTCTTCTTTTGAAGTTTCTGTTGTGATAATGTTAATCTTTTTTCCATCATGAGATACATGGCACCCATAGTTCTCCCTTTCCATCAACTTAATGGAGGACGTTATAGTCCATGTGTTGCTAGAATATATTAGCAAGAGTGCTGGTGATTTTGCCTTTTTCTAGCTTTATGCAACAAGATGTGTATTTCCAAAAAACTAAAACATGGATTTGTTCTTGTTCCTTTTCTCCTAGGAAGCCCCGTATGTCATGAATAAGAAAAGCAAAGAGAAGCTGGAAGGAAATCTGAAGTATGAAGGCTATTGTGTAGAATTGGCTGCTGAGATTGCAAAACATGTTGGTTACAACTACAGCTTGCAGATTGTTAAAGATGGGAAATATGGAGCCCGAGATCCTGAGACTAAATTGTGGAATGGCATGGTTGGGGAACTCGTATACGGAGTAAGTCTCCAGCTCTGAAAATCATAATATTTAGTTTTGCAGGGACATCCTCAAATTTATAATTTAATAGAGATTGACTGGAAATTTCAGATTAGTTTGTCTAAAGTCACTTGTCACTTACATCCAGTTGCCACATTGCTGATTTTCATTGACTAATAACACCAAGGCCAATATTAAAATCTGGGTGATTCAGTCTCGTGCCACTAATGATACTGTACAGCTGGCAAATAGCCACTTGAGTTGAACTATTTTCAGTCAAGCGAAATTATCTATGGCAGTCATTTGTTAGTAGAAAAGAAGCTCCATCTGGAAATAATAGCCAGGCATCATGCCAGCTGGAAATTCTCCTCTCCTGGTTTCAGAGTGAGGAATTACGGAATTGAGATATCACAACTTCTAGGTTGTTACATTGTATGAAGAATTACCCCAACAGATTTCTTAGGAAATGATGACAGTTACTACATATTACTAAAAAAAAAACATAACCAAAAATCATACTTGCCTTTACCAATCAGATATTTTAGATGCTAAATAAAAGCAGGAGTGAAACAAGGGAAATAGGTATCATAACAAAATGAAATTCTTATATTTCAAGCTCTGCAAATTTGACTTATTGCCTTTGTTTTAAAAAAGTTTACAGCAGAAAATTGGTAGCATAGACATACAGACAGATATATCTGAAAAGAAAATACAGTATTATTTATTGCATAATAATAATAATAATAATAATAATAATAATAATAATAATAACCCACTTTGATAACCAGCTCTTTATACATTCTAGAATGTGAGCCTTGCGGATCTTCAAAACATACATCTCAAACTGATCTCTTTTCTTTTCAGAGAGCGGATGTGGCTGTTGCACCATTAACCATAACTCTAGTGCGAGAAGAAGTCATAGACTTTTCCAAACCATTTATGAGCCTTGGCATATCCATCATGATTAAAAAACCACAGAAGTCCAAGCCCGGGGTCTTTTCCTTTCTGGATCCCTTAGCTTATGAAATTTGGATGTGTATAGTTTTTGCCTACATCGGAGTAAGTGTCGTTCTCTTCCTGGTCAGTCGCTTCAGCCCTTATGAGTGGCATAATGAAGAGCTTGAAGAAGGTCGTGACCAGCCAGCTAATGACCAAACAAATGAATTTGGGATATTTAACAGTCTGTGGTTCTCCTTGGGAGCTTTCATGCAACAGGGATGTGATATCTCTCCAAGGTTAGTCATTTTCTTCAAATCTACGATTTAATGTGGGACAGAAGTGTCTCCGCAAATGTTATGAGATATTGTTTCTCTTCTGTACTTTCTGCTTCTAGTAGAAAATCTAAAGCCAGCCTTGATATATTAATTGATTGTAGCCCAGTTCATTGGTCAGGTACCTCAGAACAAAGCTTGCTATATTGCCATTTTCAAAAGAGTTTATTATTTGGTCTAAGCAGTTGTTTTAACAACTGCAAACTTTCTTCGTTTTTCCCTTTCTTATGGTTTTTCATGTTATAAGAAAATAAGTTCCAGCTAGACAACAGTCCTTATTTTGTATGCACAATTTGAAATACTCAAGACATAAGTTGTGCTTATGGCATACAAATTTGTATACTCCACGTTTCATTCATACAGCTGCTTAAGATGGAATTCAACTGAGTAGTATAGCTTCCTCATGCATATTTTACCTTCATATATCAGTCTGAGGCCCCGTTCCCCCAGCTGTATAAAATCCACATTGAACTGGATTATATAGCAGTGTGGACTCAGATAATCCGGTTCAAAGCAGATATTGTGGATTATCTGCCTTTATACTCTGGTTTATATAGCTGTGTGAAGGGGTCCTAAATATCTATATACTGTACATTAAAATTAATAATCTGGTCAATTTTCTAGCAACATGTCATAGTCATCATCGTTTTATTTATTAATCACCTCTCCTCATGGCTAAAGGTGTGGTACAACATATGCCCCATCTATGCTGCCATATAATGTAGTTTCAAACTACATTGTGTGGTAGTGTAGATGGGGCCATGATTAAAATGTATAGATAAAATAAAACCATAAAAGGCATAGCAGAAAGCTTAAAACACCAATACTCATACAATGTAAATTTAAAATTCATAATTTTCAATTGATTGGATAGACCTGTCAGAAAAGATAGGTATTTAATTGTGTTTTAAATGTTGTTAGCTCATTTAACTGCCAAAATCTCTTTTAGCAGGTCATTCCACAGTTTGACATAAATGAAACATTCTTAAAAATTTTGTTCTTGTTATTTTCTAACATGATGCATATGACACTTTAAAAAGTCAAAATATAGTTCACCATTCCACAGACAATATCATCTAAAAACCGACTGAGAAGAGAGGACAAAAGGAGGTGAGAGAAATGGAAGCAAGTGTAGAAGATAGAGTGGACAGTTATTTTAGTTACTTCTGCACTGAATTTTCAATACAGTTCTGGTGTAACAGGAAAAAATGGGGCAGCTATTTCAAGAAACAGGAAAATGAGCAATCTCACAAGAGTTGTGAGCACTGACCTTTAAACCACCTATTGGTTTATGGCATCCCCATGACTTTCATAGAGTTTTCTTTGGCATGAAATACCCAGAGGTAGTTTTGCAATTGCTTCCTCTGAAGTTTAGCATACAACACTTGGTATTCATTGCTGGGCTCCCATCAAAGATCAAGCTTTCGTGAGAACCCAATAGGGCTGACTTTGCTTAGCTTCCATGATCAGACTGGATTTGGTGACTTATTTGCAATCATGTCCTTTTAAAAAATGACTAAGGTACAACTAATCCATACTACAATTGTAGCTTTGCAAAGAAAAGCCTCACTCCTTCTATGGTATAATTTTCAGTTTCTAGTTATTCTTATACTCATGGAGTCTGGCCTCACCAAATGGTGGGACAAGAAGGTTTTTGGTTCCAGTGTTGCCACATGCTCAGTTTTCGCTTTGGGGGGTAATAATCACATTGATGGAAGGAAAGAGTGTGTTTCTGGAAAAATGGCCATACAGTCCAGAAAACTCACCACAATGCAGTGATTCCGGCCATGAAAGCCTTCAACAACACATAGAAAGAGTGTGTGTTTACAATAGATCAGTGCTTGTAGCATTCAGATGAAGTTTTTGTTGTTTTGCTTTGTTTTTTGGTTCTAAAAACTTATTTTCGAGGAAAAGTGTCAACAAGGTGTTATCTTCAAAAGAAACTGAATTTTAGCAGTGGCCACAGGAGTGTGTTTAATAATAGCTGTAACTACCATAACCGCTTTTTCAAAAGTTGTTTTTGGCGACACAGCTTTTTCTTCTGTTCCAGCATAAAAAGATAAAAAGAAATCATTATATGCAAGACAATGTGAACAGGAGTCCAGAAACTATTTTCTCAGTATGTCCTAAAGATGCTACATAATTCCTTTATGTCTTTCAATGCTTTAGAAAAAGTAATTTTCCAAGCTTTGAGAATCAGGTGTGCATTTGTTGAACATTTTTTGTTCCTAGGATGTCAAAATCAACCATTGGCTCAGTATGAATGGAAGTGAACTATACATTTGCTTTGAGAGCAGAAGAAAACAGGGGGCTAAAGGAGACATTTACATGAACGCATGTTGCTATTGGTGCCCAACTAGGAGTAAGGCTCTGACCATATGCCTTGGTTATGAGCTGTTTGTTTTCTGCTAGGCAGATTATTCATGAGAGACCAAGCAATGCAGAAACAAAAACCTTGGAACCATTTGGACAGCTGTAACATTTCTGAGACTAATGGACTTTAAAAGGTCAGTGTCTGATTACTGATCCAGAGAGATCTAGTATCTTGTGCTCATTAAAGTTATTGTCAGGACAGAGCACCAGCGGAGTAGGGGGGAAATAAGCCTCTACATTCTGTCTTTATCTTAGCCACATGTGCTAGTATTTGAGTATTGTGATAATAGGAAATTAACTTATGGTAATTTCTAATATAAGTACTAGCAGTTGTAAAGCAGAGATAGAAGAATTTAAACTTGCTAAATGGATGACCAAAAATAATCTAGGCTTCAGAACAAGCCTGTGATAACTAACTAATGGAAATCTTCAAATGTATGCATCTCCACTGCAATCCAATACACATCTATTGATAAGTCCCTTAGTTGGCATTGTCAAGTAAAACATGGTGTAACATGTATGTGTATTGGTGTGTCTGTATGTATAATATATGTATAATGTATTTGTTTAGTTTGATATTTCAGCAGTTGTAATGTCCAATGATAAATTCAAACACAGGACACATTTATGTGGTGTGTGATTCAATCAGCCCCACAGCAACAAAGCACCATGTAAGGCTGATCCAGATTAAACTGGGACAAAGCCACTCAACACAGTTTTACCCCAGATTAACCTAACTTGGGGGAAACCTCAAATCCTGAAGCAGGATTCAGGTTCTCCCCTGCATTAGAGACAGTTTAGACAACTCAAAAACATCTATCCTGTGTTCAGGAAACCCAGGGACATGGGATGGCTATCCCCTCCCATCTTTCCCCTTGTGACATGAATACCTACCATACTCTCAAAGGTGAAACAGACTTCTGACAGGTTCCATGACTCATAAGGGAAGAAGAAAAAGAAGGGTAGTGAATCCCCAAGAGTATAATGGTGGGTGCAATTAGGGACCCTGCCCAACAGCATCAAACCTTCCCTTTTGGGCCACAGGTTCCAGCTGAATTTTAGAATCAGCGTAGAACTGCACACATAGTCCTCTCAATAACTGTAGCAAGAACAGGGTTCATGCTGTTTTTGTGGAGATACCACACACACGTTGAAATAACAGAATAACACCCCCCCCCATGTGCAGATACATGAGAGAGAGAGAGAGAGAGAGAGAAGCACTTGACAAACAGAACTGAAAAATATGTCTTGATTTAAATATTTCAGCTTTTGCCTTCTTCAGTTGACAAAGGCCCCTTCTACACTGCTATATAATCCAGATTATCTGCTTTGAACTGTATTATATGAGTCTACACTGTCATATAATCCAGTTCAAAGTAGATAATCTGGATTTTATATGGAAGTGTAGAAAGGGACAAAGATGAAACTATGGTTAACCGCATTCTTACTGCATGCAGAACAAATCAGGGATTTATTTATCGTGTCATCAGCAACCATACCATTGTGTTACAATTCTAACAGAACAAAACAAACACACAGATTAAAAAGAAAAAGAAAAAAAGAAAAAAAACACAAAGATTTTGCAAACTTGGTTAAATGTCCCCTGACCAGCATCTGGCCACCTGGAGTGCCTCCGGTGTTGCCGCAAGAAGGTCTCACTGCGCATACGGCAGGGCCCAGGGTGCACCGCAGCAGGTGGTCTGTGGCCCGCCCTTCTCCACACTCACATGCCGAGGACTCCACCCTGTACCCCCACCTCTTAAGATTGGCTCCGCATCTCGCGGTGCCAGAGCGCAGTCTGTTCAGCGCCCTCCAAGTTGCCCAGTCCTCCGTGTGCCCAGGGGGGAGTCCCTCATCTGGTATCACCCATGGATTGAGGTGCTGGGTCAGGGCCAAATCAGGGAGAAGTGTTGTTAGTATGCTTTTTAATTCAAGAAGGATACAGTTAATAATTGAAGATGCATATATTTATTGAAGCAATTACCAGGCAAAACATAAAAATGCACACCAAGGGCATAAAATGGCTCATATTTCATCTCTGGTCCTGTCTACACTGCTATATAATCCAGATTATCAAAGTAGTTAATCCACATTATCTACTTTGACCTGGATTATATGAGTCTACAGTGCCATATAATCTAATTCAAAGCAGACAATCTGGATTTTATATGGCAGTATAGAAGGGGCCTTAGATAAAGTCCAAAGCCGAAGCCAAATCAGACCACTTTGGTTCAGTTTTAGTGCTTTCTGTTCTGTGTGAAACAACAACAAACAAACTTTATTTATATCCCATTACATCTCTCCTGGGGACTTGGGGCAGTTTCCAACATAGATGGCAACCAAAGCTAGAACTTGTAGCAATTTGGATTCAGAACACAGATACTGGAGGAAAGCAGAACAAAGAAAGCATCATTTAGATTTGTTGTCTTTGAAAACACCCAAGAGGAAGGGGTGTGTGTGGTTGAATGATTGACAGGTCTGCCTTCTAATTCTAATTCTGTTTAATCACTGTGCTATTGAAAGGGATTGTGTGACTTTGATTAAGTTATGATTACTGCTTCCTTCCTCTTTTCTGGGTCAAAAGAAATGAT